TAGGGTCTAGAGTCTATATGTTAGAGTTTAGAGAACAGGGTTTAGGGTTTAGGGTCTAGAGTCTATATGTTAGAGTTTAGAGAACAGGGTTTAGGGTATAGAGTCTATATGTTAGAGTTTAGAGAACAGGGTTTAGGGTTTAGGGTATAGAGTCTATATGTTAGAGTTTAGAGAACAGGGTTTAGGGTATAGAGTCTATATGTTAGAGTTTAGAGAACAGGGTTTAGGGTTTAGGGTCTATATGTTAGAGTTTAGAGAACAGGGTTTAGGGTTTAGGGTATAGAGTCTATATGTTAGAGTTTAGAGAACAGGGTTTAGGGTTTAGGGTATAGAGTCTATATGTTAGAGTTTAGAGAACAGGGTTTAGGGTATAGAGTCTATATGTTAGAGTTTAGAGAACACGGTTTAGGGTCTATATGTTAGAGTTTAGAGAATAGGGTTTAGGGTTTAGGGTCTAGAGTCTATATGTTAGAGTTTAGAGAACAGGGTTTAGGGTTTAGGGTCTAGAGTCTATATGTTAGAGTTTAGAGAACAGGGTTTAGGGTATAGAGTCTATATGTTAGAGTTTAGAGAATAGGGTTTAGGGTTTAGGGTTTAGATCCTATATGTTATAGTTTAGAGAATAGGGTTTAGGGTATAGAGTCTATGCATTTGGGTTAAACAGATTAGGGTCTAGGACATAAGGTTTAAGGTATAGGGTTTACGGGTTATGATCTAGATGACAGAATTCATGTATTAGTGTTTCAGAGCTAAGGGTTAGGGTTTATGAGACAAGGTTTTAAAGTGAAGGTCCAGGGAGTATCGAAAAATCCATTACGTGTCTATATTAACACTCGGCCGGTTCTGTCCTTGTTCCAGGTTCATTATATAAAGAATACAGTTTCGGGTTCAGAGTCTAGGGCACAGGTTTAAACCCCAGAATCATTAATCAGCCTGGTTTTATTCAGCAGGGCTGCAGGAGAGCCGAGCATTGAGCCTCTTTTTCAGACCACATTATAACATTTGGCATTTAATCAGGTGTACGACTCAGAATAACATGCGTTTAATAACATTTATCTCCTACAGCTACTGATGAGTGATGACAGACCAGTGCAGCCCTGTGGCGACGGAGCCAAAGCTTCTTAACCGCTCTCTTTCAGCCTGGATGTGAAGCAGGATTTAAAACACAGAACCGGCTGCCAGGAAGGGCAGTTTGTGCTTTTTGATATGGAAAAGGCTCTCACAGCTGCACGGTGCTGCCGTCTCTGCCAGCAGTGAATTGCTGTAATTGAGGAAACATGTAATGAGGCCATGGAGTGTTACGTGCATCAGAAAGGAAAAGAAGGCTGACCACTGAAAACACTGAAAACGCCTTTCTCTGCTGTTGTTTATGTAAATGTACTTTTCATTTGCATCTGAATGGCTTCCAAAAAGTTGCGGCTCATTTTGTAGGGGGAAATTGCAGCGGACCTAGAATAGAACCTTGAGGGATGCCACACACTGCCTGCTGAATTGTTTGTTTTTTTGGCATGAAAAATAGTTCTGCTGTGAATGTCGGTGATTTGCATTCAAGGTATGCTTATTGAGGACTAATGTTTGAAGAAGTACTTCAATCTGACAGCAGACATTAGCAAATATGATCCGAAACACAAAGGAGAGAAAATTCAAGAGAGAAAAACAGGATTGATGTTTTCTGTTGAGTGTAGGTGTAGGAAGGAAAATAACAGCATGTCAGGCACAAATGCAGTATTTACATTTATTTTACACCAGATTTATGAGTTCAGTCATTTTGGAAGTTGCAAAACACTGACCAATGGAAATGTTACAGAGAACCGATGGACATTAGCAGCTACATGCAGTAACACACCATACAATGCCTGATGATCCATCCACACACACTGACACCTGATCTCAGCGATGGTCATTACAAACTGACAAGACTATTTCAAAAGATAGTGAACTGCAAACATGCTAAATACTCAAATCAACCCAGTTCCAGTTTGTACGCCTTTTTATTACCAGCCGTGTTGGAGTTCTTTGGGCGAAGTATGAAGAGAACTGCATGTTGACATCACTACTTTGGTCTGGTGATAAACAGGAGACAAAAGAGGCATTTCTGTAACCTTAAATTCAGCTTTGACCAGCATTATATTAGAACTGATTAGGATGAACCATGACCTGTAAGGCCTTGTTCAGACTGACAGCCCAAATCCGATTTGTCATATTCAGATTGATGTTTGATAGTCTGAACAGCAAAAACACACGAAATGTGATTTTTTAAAAACTAGATCTAAACCACATTTGTAGCTGGTTTGAAATGCGACTCCAGTCTGATTTCTACAGATGTGTCTCAGTCTGGATGCTTAAATCGGATCCCACAACTCGAGAAACAGCGACGATGTCGAATCCAGAGTGAAGTGCTGGGATTCGAGAAGAGCTCCAGAGATTCATGATGATGAGAGAGTTCTGAGGAGTCTGGAGGGGAGATGATGCTCCTCCATCTCTCCTGCAGCCGTGACTGAAATCAGCATCACCAGCGTAGCTACGTAGTTACTGACGCCTACGTCGTTACCACGGCAACACATGCAGATAGACTGGTGATGTCTGGACACACAAATCCGATCTGCCTGCAGTCTAAACACGGCCAAAGAGGACAAACACAGGTATACCCCCCCACCCCCCACCCCCTCGACACACAACCAAACAGTCCAGACATTAGTGGTGGGCAATACGATGACAGTTTATCGCTGTTGATAAGGTAAGATGAGATAATCCTTTATTAGTCCCACAACGGGAAAATTCACAAATTCACTGTAATTATGTTTTGTTATCGTGATACACAACATGCGTTTCTGAGCGCGTCGTGAACATCATCAGTGTCTGTTTCATTGCAAAGAGCACAATTAGTCCTGTTTAGCTGGATTTAGTCCTGCACAGCGTGTGAAATAAGAATCACTGCACTGATTGTTTGTGATGTTTGTAAATGTGACGTTATTAGTACATTGTGTTTGTGTTAAATATCGTGAGACATAGTGTGAAATTTTCTTTAGGTGTCGTGATTCCCGTATCAGCCACCCCTGTTTGTTTAGGTTTAGCACTGGAGCTACAGGGCTAATGTTCCTAATGTCGCTAACAGGGCTACAAGGCTAATGTCGCTGTCAGATTCTTTTTCCTACCCTTGAAAATATGAGAGATTACAGATCAACTCCACATGGTCTGAGGCGAGCTTTAGCATCATGCTAATTGGTAGGGAATCCAGTTGTTGTTAGCAGCATTAGCTTCATAGCACCAGTGCTAAAACTAAAGAAGCAAATTCATCTCGGCTGGTTGGCTGGTTGTGACTCTACTAGTGCATTGTGTCAAAATATCGTGAGACATATTGTGAAATTTTCTTTAGGTGTCGTGATTCCCGTATCAGCCACCCCTGTTTGTTTAGGTTTAGCACTGAAGCTACAAGGCTAATGTCGCTAACAAGTAATGGAAGAAGGTGGGGGTCAGGCTAACTTTCTTCCGCAGGCCACACTTCGGGCTGCCTGCTTATGTTTTCATTTTACCACATAAATGCTATAAAGATGTTCTTCCTCCCCTCAGATTCTGTTTCCCCCCTTAAAAATATTACAGGTTACAGAACAACTTCACACAGTTTGAGGCAAACATTTAGCCTCATGCTAACTGGGGTATAAGCTTCCAGTTCCTATAAACAACATTAGCTTCATAGCTCCAGTGCTAAAACTAAAAAAGCAAATTTATCTTTAAATTTATTACCACTGAGCCTCGTTCTCCAGTATCCTCCCAAGTCTGTTCTTAAGTGTGTTCTTGATAAAGATTCTAGAGAAAGTCTGCGTCAGATTCATGACGTGTTCTTAAAGCGCAGAACTGTTCTCTCCTTTGTGCTCTTGAGTGTAGATTCTGTTCTTACCTAAGAATGAATCCCACATAAGAGAGCACTGGTGAGTCAGAGTCTTCGTCAGAACTGCGTAAGAGGGTTTAAGAGGAAATTTCTTCGGTTGGTGAACGAGGCCCAGTGTTATTCTTGGGGTCAATTTGAGTTCAGCAGTTTAAACAGCTAAACAATGATTATGATTAAAATTGTTTATGTGTCAAGTCCTTTGTTTCTTTGCAAAACATGATGTGAATTATTTATTTAGAGACGTTAAACATTGAATTGGGTCAAATTGACCCCAAAGGAAAAGACAGTTGAGGCTTAGATCACTGAAATGTTTTCACCCCATAAACACAGAACAGAGACGGCGGATTCTCGTTTTCTTACAGACAGTTCACTCCGAGACACGAGACTGAAGCACTGTGAGGAACGTCATTTCAGAGTCGACGCCATGCATATGGAAACGTAATAAAAGTGTTCCTCTGATAGGAGTGAACCGCCGACGGCTAATAAATATAAAACTGCAGGGTTACGACAGGAACGTTTCTCTAGAACCGGAGCACTTTAAAAAAGCAGGAATGTACAGAAGAGTAACCGACAGCGGATATAAACGCTTTTTGGCATGACAAATAATAATCAACTCAACCGGATTACACACGTATTTACAAACCGACAGTCATACGAGTCACAACACCACAGCAGAGAAGCCTATTATAGAGTCATCATCACATCCACTGTACAAACGACATTAAGTTCCCATGAAATGAGTTTAATATGTTACTGTTACTCTGATCGGAAGCAGAATCGGGAGATAAACGACGCGCTGTCATTTTTACTAGTGCGACAGACAGGATGCAGGAAAGCAATGACATCATCATTTAATCTTCCAGCTGGAAAAACACGCACACACACATAAACTCATAAGTCCGTTCCCTTCGTCTCCGTTCTCAGCGCTGAGACTCGGAAATCATCCCACTGCCTTCCTGACTCGAACCGGAGATTCTGATTAGCCCTAAAAACGTCGGAGAGGAAGGCGGCTTCCTCCAGAACAAAACAGACAGCACAGAGAGAGAGAGAGAGAGAGAGAGAGAGGAAGAGAGAGAGAGAGAGAGAGAGAGGAAGGGAGAGAGAGAGAGAGAGAGAGAGAGAGGGAGTGCAGGAGGAGAGCGCTGGGCGGCTCAGGTGGCGTCGTCGTCGTCGCCCAGATAGTAGTTGAGGGTGATGACGGCGCTGATGAAGTCGCCCAGCTCCACGAAGTCGGCCGTGACGACGTTCACGCCGCTCTCTCCGGGCCGCTGAGAGCGGATCCACTGCATCATTCCGGGCAGAGCTCTGAGGACAACACACAGATCAACTTTATCAGAACACATCGATTGCTTTCAGTCAGAGGAGGGAACGGGTCACTGAGTTACCAGTAACAAGTGTCAAGTCTTGACAATCGAGTCCTGAGTCAAGTCCTGAGTTGGTACAGCGAGTCTCAAATCCAGTTCTGAGTCCTAATCTTCAAGTCAATCTTCAGTCTTCAAGTCTCAAACCTTCAGCTAATTTAAGGTCGTTTCAACTGTGAATATGAAAAAGATGGTTACAGTAGTGTTGCCTTTTAATGACGGCATATTAGTCGTGTTGAGCTGTTTGTTCATTTTTTATTTATTTAAGCTACTCTTTATTAATCCCACAACAGGGAAATCTGCATTTTAACCCATCCGTGCAGTGAAACACCACATACACACTAGTGAACACACACTAGGGGGCAGTGAGCACACCTGCCCGGAGCGGTGGGCAGCCCTATCCACCGCACCCGGGGAGCAGTTGGGGGTTAGGTGTCTTGCTCAAGAGCACTTCAGTCTCCTACTGCCGGTCACAGGGCTGGTTCCCTAACCTCCAGCCCACGACTGCCCCCCAACTAAAACACAAAATCCATGGTACACAGATAACCATGACTGACACACTGGTAAACACAAAGAGCAGCACAACTACACGTGGAAAGAATTTTCAAAGTCATATTAAATCTACTGCAATACACTTCCCTCCGTACTGAGCGGTAGGAGCTAGAAACAAAGTCTAAGCGCTCGTTTGTAGCAGAGACGTTCATGTTGCTTGCAGGAAAACATGATTATTCCAACTTCAATATTTTAAAAATTATTCCACAAAAAGCAGAATGTGTGAGGTCGTGCTTTTCCCTAATCGGCTGAGGAGACATTCTTTCAGAATGTTGATTTTAGGTTGTTTATCAGCTGTATGATAATCCAGCTCTGCTCACCAGCGCTGATAAGAACGTCTCCACGGCTCCGCTCTGCACTCTCAGCATTTCAGAAATACCTTTACATTCACAGTCGTATGAACATTTACTGCTCATTTCTCTCAGCTGTATATGCTGTATATATGTACCTCAGTACTGCAGTACACGGCTGCATCATCACACATCTGTTCACTCTCAGTTGTCTACTATAAAATATCTATTTTATGTTTATATGTACATCTTTGTCTATATTTATTTTATTGGATTTAATCTTATGTTGACACCTGATCCAAGAAGTGCCAAGAAGACTAGCTCCTTGTACACCTGGTTCATGGCGAATAAAGATTCTGATTCTGGAGAAAAAAACTGGATGGAAGTGGATGTAGCGCTTAACAGCCATGCCAGCGTAAAGGACGCATGGAAGTTCCTTTTCGTATGTGAAGGGAGCATAAATGTGCCTTTAGGCAACCACTGCATTGTTTAAGGTGGAACAGAAAATTAGAACAAGAAACTGGAGAAAAAGCTGAATTCAGCCTCGTGGAAAGAGGAGCGAGATCAACTGACAACTTTAAATCTGGTTAACTGGCTAATAATGTTTCATTTTCAGAGAATTATGACTGCAGTAACGATCACTCCGAGTTTCCTGTTGAAGCCTGAGCTCTCAGCAGCCTTAGTGGCCTCATCAGGTGAAATATGTGAAGTGGTGTGAATTCTGATAGTAAGATGTGATGAAACATGACTCAGCTGTAATCATCTGTCAAGCTGCCTGATTTTATGTGGTGCAATCTATGAATTTCATCACATCCCTTTAATCAGTTCCAATTAAAAAATGGATAAACTCCGTTCAGGATGGGTTAATATCTGTGTCCCTTTATCAGCGGTTCTGGAGCTGGTTCAAATCAAAGCCCACATATTTATCATTACTGTGATAAATTACATCATAATGTGTCTCCATATGCTTTTCTGAGTGTATCATGTTTATCATCAGTACTAAAAACACTGACTAACCGCAGGTCTAATCACAAAGAGGGCTTAATTAGTTCTGTTTAATTAAAATGGGTTAGTTTAAATGGCTTAAATGGTTTCCACTTCCTGCTAAGTTGTTGCTAGGCGGTTACTAGTGTATCCCAGGTGGTTGCTAAATTGCTGCTAGGCATGGTGTAGGGAGTGTTTATTTATATAGGGAGTTGCCAAGTGTTAGATACGTGTTGCTGAAAATGAATGGGACTCTATGGGAGGAACGAGGGATGAAAAAACGACACATAGAGGAGTGCGGGTCAGTGTGGCTGTGTATTAGAGCTTGAGGACCTGCACTGAGTGAGGACATGTAGTTTGCTGGCTGTTGGGCAGTCAAGTAGTAGAGTTTGAGTGGTGGCGGAAATGAGTGGGACTGGGAATGGGAGGAACGAGAGATGGAAAAAAAGACAAACAGATGAGTGCGGAATCAGAACAACATTGAATTCGTGCTCGGGGTCCTGCCCTGAGATAGTATATGCGAGGCGGTGTCTTTTAGTCGAGCAGAAGTTCAGTAGATTGCCTTTCGATTTTTCACCCCATTCATTCCTATGGGAAAAAATTTGGAATTTAATGAAGCTTGTATGAAAACCGTGCATCCGATCAATAAGCTGTATAAACGCTGTATACAAGCCTGACTCACACAATCAGACCAGACAATCTGGATTTGGAACGGTGTTGATATCTCGAAAACTGCGGGACAAGTTGGTGACAAAAATCTGGCAGAAAATTCCTAATAAAAGAGAAGAAGAATATAAAATGAAGAATAATATATTTGTGCTTTGCTTTGCAGAATAAATATCGCAACACACTGTGTATCATAAAAACTTCCTGAAGTCTTGTGATGTTGCATTTTGGCGTATCGCCCGACTCTAGAGTGATCAATACTTCTACAACAGTGATCAACTGCTCAGAAGAGTTAGAGCTATTACAGATCAGGCTGGGTCCACTCACCCATTCAGCGATTATTATTGATAACCATTAGTCATCATTAGCCATTAGTGAGTCACACTGGAGAGCTGGAACACAGCACCGTCAGAAACAGCACCGCTCGGCCCAGCACTCCCAGCTCCAGGAACCGAGCCAGCGCCCGAATTCATCCTCACTACGTACTGATTCACTACATACGGAACTACTGAGCCAATCGAGACTCAGACACTGATTTTACAGACTGAACAGTGTGTGATGGTGATGCACGACTCTGATTATAGATTCAGACTGAGGTGTTTATTCTCACTCTACTCAACAATCTGATGAAAATGTCCGTTTACATGCTCACTACAATAATCCGATCCGATATTACACGCATGCATGGACAATCTCTTAGTGTAGACGTTACCATGACAACCAGCATCACGTGAGTCCAGTCAGAGTGAGATGAGCAGCAGTGAGCAGCGCTTGTGTTTTTAATGACTTTAAAATGATGTCAGACTCAGGAAAACGTCCTTCACATGTCCTTATTAAAGAAGGCCGAGAGGAAGACGTCGTGTTCTGAGACTCATAAGCTGGACGCATTTACTGAAAAACCCTTGAAGAACCATCTTTTTTAAGTGTGTAATTACAAAGATGAAATTAAAAAAGAGGGTGGAAAGTAATAAAACCATAAAATAAAAAATAATTAAAAATCAAAGAGGCCTAAATGTTTACAAAGAAATACTTGAGTCATTTCCAGCAGCCTGAGTGAGGAAGAGCGCCAACTTACCGCTTTCACCACTGAGCAGCAGATGCAACTCAATGAAATCTTACTTCAAAGAAATACCAGCCTCTAAACTGTTAATCAGGAAACTCGTGCTGGCAAACTTCTAAAACCTCTAAGACTCGATGAAGCTTAGGAGAACATTTAGATCTCATATGAATCAAAATTGAAATAAAATCAAGAGCTTAAAATAAAAGACTATAAAATAACAAATAAATGAAGGAATTAAAGGAAATTAAAATAGTGATTAAGATAAAACACAATACCAAACAAAGCAACGAGAAACAAGAACTTTTTCAACCTGGACATTTCAGAAAAAAATGCTGTATCACATTCGAAGGTTTTTACCCTTTACACTGTGTGAGGTTTATGCATGATCAACGTGACCCCAGGACTAGGATTAGGCTTAATCCCTGGGCAGGAAACCAGCCTTTAAGACTCTCTCAGGATGCTCGAGAGCCCTGCGTCAATAACAGATACAGTACGTAACCATGATTAGCCGCAGCCTCTGTAAGCAGAGCGGTTTTAAAAACATCACTGAAAGGTTGATCTCAGTCAGAATGAATCGACCTGTTTTCACAGAGCGAGCAGAGAAAGCCACAGCGGGCAGCTGGTGCTGTTAGCAGAGCAGAGGACCAGCCAGTGGACGAGGCTTTATAAAGGCAGAGTGACTCAGAGTGTCGGCTCTGCCCTTTAGCTTCTGTCCCACTTACACCCAGCAGACACAGCGCATTGGTTCACCAGCAGCAGCTACAGCTCACAGAGCACACACACACACACATACACACACACACACACACACACACACACACACACACAGACACACACACACACACACTCACAGACACACACTCATATACACACACACACACACTCACAGACACACACTCATATACACACACACACACACGCACACACACACACACACACAGACACACACTCATATACACACACACACACACTCATATACACACACACACAGACACACACTCATACACACACACACACACACACAGACACACACTCATATACACACACACACACACTCATATACACACACACACACAGACACACACTCATACACACACACACACACACACAGACACACACTCATACACACACACACACACACACACACACAGACACACACTCATACACACACACACACACACTCATATACACACACACACACACACACACACAGACACACACTCATATACACACACACACACACTCATATACACACACACACAGACACACACTCATACACACACACACACACACACACACACAGACACACACTCATATACACACACACACACACTCATATACACACACACACAGACACACACTCATACACACACACACACACACACAGACACA